GTGTCACTGACACCATAGGCGGTATGTCCACCGCAGCTTTTCAGCGTTCCATTCCTGGGCTCATAACATAACATTGCTTTTAGTCAGGGACACACGGAGGAGCTAATGACTCATAGTCCCTACAGGTATGAAGTAGTTAAAGAGCTGAAAGCAATTCCTTCTAGTGTAATTATGTTGATAGATTTGACAGGCCTAGAAACCTTAAAAACATCTTAAAAGCAGACTTCCTGAAGTAAACGAGAAGCTGTTAAACTAAAAGGGAATGGAAGGAGCAACACACGATTGCCTGTTGCTAAGCCCTTAATTTCCTCCTCTGTAAGGCAGCAGTTCCTCCATTTATACTTTGGTTCTACAAAGCAATGAGATATGATGACAGGTCTGATTACCTAAAATCTTGTTCACCGTCTTTTCCTAATTTTCTGGTGATTATAACCGAATATTCTTATGCTGCTCAGAGTTGAGGATATTCTCAAGGACGCTGCATGATTCTGATCGTCTTAGTGGAAAAAATAAGCTGTAACAATTTGTAATGATTCTCTACAAAGCAGTTGACATAGGGATCATTAAGGCTGGATACCAGTAAAGCCTGTGTCTGTTGTAGGATTCATTCTTGGGTCTAAGGAAGCATGTGCTAGATCATTTTCCATGCTCTGAAGAATATCAGTGGAACTTCATTGTGTCAGGTCTCCAAATTCAGCCCCTTGTTTTCTGTGCAAGTGATGCTTCAGAGGATTCACTTAAAGACCAAAGCTGCTTTTTTAAAACTGAAAAATAGGTTTTACAAATTCCTCAGATTGATACCCTGTGCCATGGCCTCAGATACTGATTGCCATCTAACTTAGGCTTTAGAAACTGGAATGAGCAAAACTGTCTAAGGAAATAAGGCTATTTCTTTATTGGTACTCACTTGTTTTGTTAGCCAAATTAGTGTCCATTTATTGGAAAAGAAAAACATACATTTTTAAAGAGCAGAAAGTGGATCAGAAAGAAGACAGCATTTGCTCTCCTTGCTCATGGTATTGAGTCCTCAGGACACAGTGTGAGCTAGAATGAGTGATGGTCCATCAAGTTCAACTTGTGTGAAGAAAACGCAACAGTCTCCTTCTCTGAGTAATCTACAAAGTAATTCTTGTAATAGGACTAGACTATTTCAAGCAAAAATTTCCCCCTCCCAGGCTAACACTTCTATAAGTGTCCTGTAACTTGTACTTGTAGTCGTCCCCGCAGTCTCTGCCCTCAGCATTGTTTTGTAGTGGCAGTGGCGTGATAGACCTTTCTAGGTGCTAACAGTCAAATGAGCATGACAGGCATACCACTTTGCTTCAAGACTGTTGAATCTAGATTTTTTGAAACTGGAGAAGCATTAACTGAGGACAGTTATGTCGAACTATAGCCACTTGTTTTCTTCCAGAGGTTTAGTTGCAAGGAGTAGAAAACTGTGGCCAGACTCCCTCTTTGTTGGCTTCTCCTAACATAACATAGTGCGCAGGTACTGCAGTGGCAGAAATTCTACTAGAGAGAAGTTGCTAAATATAAGATGGCCACAACCTTATCTTCACTGGTGAATCATGGGAACGTAAAAGCTGTCCGAGAAGTAGCCAGTGCTGGCTGGGATTAAATGTGAGCAAGGGAAAAAGCAGATGCACTCTGCTGGCATTCTTGTGGCATAATCCCCTAAAAAACTGGAAAAAAATGCTCTTTGCCAGTCTACTTCATGAAGAAAGAAAGTGTTAGAAACAGCTTTTGGCTTCCTCTGGAGGTCAATATTTTTCTTTGTGTGTGGTAAGTAGTTGGTGCCTCCCTTCAAAAGCTGTGAAGAATTTCCTTTCATAGGTAGGAAGTTAGTTTTCACAAGCAGAATAAACTAGATAAAGGAAATTTTTTCTCCCCTGTCCTAGCTGTTGATATAGCCTTGTGGTTGTAGAATACAGTTTCAGCAGAAAATAACACAATTAATTCTATCTTCATTTCTGCTCATAACTCCCGAGGAATATTTAGAAGCTTTGACCAGGAATCTGAACCACCTGAGTCAAAAGATATTCTTTATATTTGAAGTATCTAGTGAGATACAGAATGATGGAAGACTAAACCTTCCCTCAAAACTATTTCCTGAGCAAGTTAAAGGCAAACATAACCACTGATGATACTCTATATAAGGGAACAAGAGTGTGAGAATAGGAGGCTTACAATACAATTGAAACTGACTTGTATTTCACAGAAAAATGAAAAAAGTTCACTGGATTTTTACCGCTGCAAATGATGCTCTTAAAAAGTGCTATGAAATGGAATAGCATTTTTAACTTACAATAACATGTTGCATTCTTTAGTATATTTGATACAAGGTTCAGGATATCGAGATGTTTTACGAACATTACTGGACTTACTTTTTCTATGGTTTTATATTTTAGATTAAATGTTAACAAATAACAGGGAGAAGACTAAGTCAGATTAAGCTGCTCATGAATCACAAGTAGGGTGATGTATGGAATACACATTACTTAGCACCCAAGGCCCGTGTATTAACTGCATAGAATTCCAGTTGAATGTTGAAATTGCAGTCTGGTGATTATAACAGTTCAAGACTTTCCTGAAACCAAGTGATTGTTCATTAATAAAACCTTGATGAGATTGCAAAACAGAAAAACAACTGAGATCAGACAGAGGTTTCCCAGGATATTGAATGAACTTAGGACAATTTATAGGTTCTTGCTTACAAAAGGCTTCCCATACAATAGGATCAAGAGTTATATTAATTTTAGGTGAAAACTGAAAATGTAAATACACAACAAAGAAAACTAGAGAGGGAGTCTATGCTGATGGCAGACAAAAGTCAAGATTGCAAGGGTAATGAGCTGCTTTAAAACTTCCAGAATCCATGCTTGTATTTTAACATAAGGGTGGTCTAGTTTAGGGAATGTAGAAATTTGAAATAGATTATTTAACTTTAAAATAACTAAGGTTGAAAGCTGATGACTAGCATGTTACATATATTTTTACCTTGAAGAAAATAAAGAGTACATATAACTTAAGGTCTGATTGGCAGTAGCAGCCACTGTCAGTTGGTAAGCAGCTGCCATAGTTCCCCGCACAGGCAGCAAACATTTTACCAGTAGAGAAATGACTGGAAATATGTCTAAGATACATGCGCTGTAAAAAAAAGTTGCTACGCCGTTCTAAAGATGCAGCTTATTGTCTTCTGGTGTAGGAGCAAGAGGGGGAGGTGACAGACTCCCTTTAAATTCCTGCCAGCCATGCAAAAGGAAGTATTTGTAGGGCACTCAGATAAGCTCTTAAGTCTAACTCAGATGCCGATGAATGTAACAGATCTTGGTGTTCAAATGAACAAACAGATAAGTGGCAGAAAAATTTAAAGTTCCTTAAGAGAGATCCCAATATTTTAATATTATTTAGCACCAGCATGCTAAGTTAAACAGCACTCTAGAACTGATTAGTGATAGGTGAAGCATCAAGTACAGAAATTAAGGGTTCTCTAATGAACTACTGAGCATATATGAAACTAAAGCTTCCTGTTTCAGAAGGATAAACTTTAGTAGGAAGTGCCAAAAAGATAGTGAAGAGGTCAGCAACTTGCATGTAGAGGAAATCTGGTTTTCCTAAAAATTAAAGATGCAAAAGTGTGGATTTCTCTAATTCTATTTTATTGCAAGCAAGGAGAAAAATCTTTAAAGAAGTAATTCCATGATTAAAAATGACAAGGGATGGTGGGGGGCAAAGCAGAAAAGCCAAAGTGATATCCTTCTGATACCACTTTCTGAGCAGAAAAGCAAAAGTGGTATCTTAGAAGGCAAGAGTTATTGGGATAAAAAGAGGATTGAAAAAGTAAAAAATTCAGACCTCACAAAAAATATAAAAATAAATAGAAAAAGAACCTGCAGTTAATTATGTCTTTATAGTCTCATTAGGCTGATCTCCTTTTCTTAGTTATGTTCCTGTTTGGAAAGGCAATAAGGGCCTAAAAGAAAGGTCACTTCAACTGGAAGTTACCTGGAATACACATTGTTATGTGTATTCCACACATAACCTGGAACACATTATTATAAAGGGTAAACACTAGCTTCAGAGGCTGTGATGACACAAGTTCTTGCATGTTTTAATATGTCTTAAAGAATGAATATATTCCTAGCTAAAAGCTTCATTAACTTCATGTTATTTGAGTATCAATTAGTCGAAAATTAGAAATAGAGTTCTACTGTTTACATGTTCTGTACTTCTTTTTCTTAACATCATTTGTAAGAAAGTACCAACATAAAAGAGTTAATTCATCTGAATGCTCCAGCTTTGCACAATTTAAAACACAGCAAGGGAAAAATACTGTGATGTTCACACCCAGGTCTTGCTCCAAAATGTGGTTCAAATCCTAATATATTCACACTGTTACAGACTTGATTGTATCTATTTTCTGTATTGTGATTATTCTTTATTATCTCACCATGAATGAATTTGCCTTCACCTGTACTTAACTGATGTAGTATGCGGATACTTGGATGCTGTAACTTTCTACTTGCTGCCTTCCAGATTTTATTTTTTCAAACCAGATGTTGAAGCTTACTGTGTTTTTAATATGACACAGTGTGTACTTAAACTGTTTACAAGTGGTCTGACATAATAGGTACATGTAGTACTGCCCCATGAATATTTTAGGTCTAAGCGTGTCCTGTTGTTCCATTAATTTCAATGTCAGGCCAGCAGCAAGCTGTAATATAGCAGGTGGAATAGCAACAGCTGGGAAATGGTTAAAAACAATGACACGTTTGAAAAGGAAAATTCATTAAAACCTTGGAGAGCCTGAACACGGGCACAGCTCTATGCTTTGCTGGGACTTCATGTTCACTGCAAATCTGGACATCTCAGAGACAGAGGACAGTAGTAATACTTTGCAGCCTAATTTGATTATTCTTATGCTTGCTTAGAGCAGTTGCAAACCCCAGTGGACTACAAGGAGAAGTTTAGCAGTTGAATGAAAGAAAGGGTTGACTTACTGAAGTAAAAGCCTCTGTCTCCACAGACGAACTGAAGAGCATCAACCAGCTCAGCACCACAGAGCGTCTCTGGGCCGGCAGCAGCAGAACTGGTTAAGGTAAGCAAACACAGGCCAAGGTAGAAGAAATGAATGTAGGACACAGTGTGCATCTTCACCTGCCAAAGAAGCAAACAAAAGTACTGTGTCAGAGTTTCCCAGCAGAGTCCTAAAGAAAATGAGCTACTGTACCCTTGTGAGCTGGGACTGCATACGTAGTGTAATTTGTTAAACAAGAATAACCACAACATCAAGAAAGGTCTCACAATAACATTGCAACATTGCAACATATTCCATACATTTTGTAAACTGATGACTTCCTCTAGTGAATTGAATGTTCTTGGTTTACCTGCACGTGTAGTTAAAGAATCTTCTAAAAGTGGACCACGATTTATGGTTCTTACTGCAAAAGGAGGTTAGGCAAGAATAACATAGGCAAAGGGACTTGGGAAGGCCAAAATAATTAGGGTGGGGAAGACTAGGCAACCTTGAATTGTGTTGTCTGAGACCAGGTAGGCTAAGAGGGGATACGACTGCTGTCTGCCAGTGTACTGAGAAATGTGGAGGCTGCATATGATGGAGAAGAGCTGTTTAAACCAAAGAACAGCACTGGCACAAGAACAAAAGGCTGTAAACCGGAGGGAAGGAAATTTGGGCTGGGAGAAAGACTGTTCATAACTATTTGTACTCGGTGATTCTCCTGCCACTTTAAAAATGGAAACACCAGGACAAAACAAAAAGAAGGTTTTGAGGTAGAGCTTGCTAAAGTTACAGAGGAGTTGATGTGGCACCTTCCATAGTAGGGGACCAGATTCATTGACTCAGGAGTTTTCTTCCAGTCCTCTGTTCCTAGGAAGATAACAAGTGGAAGAATTCAAGAAATTAAGAGGATGTCTAGTAAAAGTGTTAAGGATTTGCATTTGTATTTAATGGAAGCATGACTCACTGATCTCTACTATATCCACTTAGTTCAGGCTTGTTTATGAGGATGTATACAGAACTGGTGACTGTTTTCTTTCTTATATTTGGTGTACAAACTATTTTTTTCCTGGACATACGACTAAAGAAGGGCCAGTCCTCGGGGGGTATAAATTTGAACCGTTCCCTTGGTCCCCTTCCTTTCATTTCTATTTATATCAGTCAACAATCTGACCAGCGTGTCAAATAAGATAGCATTTTTGTTGAATACTGTTATTAACATAGTAGGGAAACCTGTTTATGTTGGATAGCAGGGCAGTGAGGCTTGTGCTGAATGAATATTTTGAGCTGATTTAGCAGATCACTTAACAAAAATGTTAGTTTCAAAAGGTATAAATCTGCATATAATTTGATTCTATTTCAAGGTAAAGTTAGTGCTCCAGTCAGGTGAGAAGTTACAAATCCTTCTTGCATGTACAATTACCCTTGGCTTAAATCTGTTTTATATTAGTAGACAAGTGCAAGTAATTGGAGTAAGATGATTAATCTTCCCTCGAGTTTCTTTCAAGGTTTCAGGGACCATTCCCTCATATTTTTCACTGAACTTTTGAAAAAAATGATGGAATTATCTGTTATCTGCTCATATGGGAGTCACCGGGATATTGAGCCTTCTCTAGTTTAAGTCAATAATTTTTAAGAATGCTTATTTTCTTGCCAAGGGACCTTAGCACCTTGCTGGATAAGTCCCCTATTTCAACTTAAGTCAGAGTTGAATAGGAGGAAAATCTATAAATAAGTCAGAATGTATCGCCCTTTTTTCCTGATGATATTTCCACTGTGAAAATAATGAACAAATCTGAATCCCATGATATATCATAAAGAGGAAGAATAATTATTTTCCCATTCACAAGAGTCTTTAGCCAACTTTACAATGGAAAAGCCAACAAGCATTAATGCATGGACATGACTTCAATGGCAGATGGAAGAAGATCAGTTTATAAATGAATGATGATAACATAAGGCATTATTTCCTGTAATGATTCCATATTTTAACAACATCAATTTCTTTTTTCCCTTGCCATATTTTTGAATTTCTAAGATGAATGTGATGCACCTGCAGTTTAAGATGGTTCCCAGTTCCTTGTTCTGCAGAGGTAAAGCAGAAAGCTGTTTAACACAGCCTCAGAAGGCTAAAAGACATTACAAAAGTAAGAACATTATGTGTTTAACAGTTTGTTCTTGTATAACATTTGAGCCAGAAATAAACATAAATCTTAGACATTTAACAATTTTGTATTTTTCTAGATTTTTCAGCTGGGTTATATTTTAAGATAAATATCAGCACTGAACTAGGACAAGACAGATTCTCCACTGTTTTTCCTTTAGTGGAGGCCAAAAAAGCTGCACAGTATAAACCACAGAGAATTTCTACACTTTATCCCCAAATTTAAAAACAGTTAAGAACTTGCAAACAAGTAAAAACTTTTGGGAAAAGAAAAGAGACTCACATGTTTCTAGGGACCGATCAATTATTTTTTAAATTAAGTGCTGCTTCATCAAAACTAATTCCAAAACATGATTTATGACTTCAACTTTATTTCATCATTTTAATTGAATGTAACATTAGCTGATTCAGTATGTTTGTGATAAGATCAAAGTTCCCATTTAAGTCTGAGGGGAATATTCTTAAGAAAATACAAAGCTGTAACCCAGTATGGCCTCAGGCTCTTTACAAACAGACAGGGTGCTTATAGTGTCCCCACTTTGACTAGGAAGTTGAGAGTTTTAAAAAGAATGCGTTGGCATGTGGGTGGGGTTTACTGAAGCATCTAATTACGTTTGGAAATTGAATACAGGTTCAGGATGAGCCTGGTTAAGCACTTCTTTTAGTTGCATAGAATGACTGACCATATTTTCACAGCTGGAATTTCCTCTTTTTTCAGTAAAATAACCAGCTTTTGCTGCATTCCTCTTTTAATAGTCCAAAAGAGTGGCACCACAAAGGAATGTCATATATGAACTCTATATTTCTTTTAGATCTTAAGTTTTCTTTGTAAGTCCTCTTATTCTAACAAACTCTCAGTTGGCCCAGGTTGTACATAAGAATTCTTCTCATGCTTGGTCACTGTTTAGTAACGTTTAATAGCATTTACGGTAATTATAAATATCTTGAGGTGAGCAATGCTTTCATGGAAAATATATACTAAAGAGAAAATCCAGAGTTATGTTCAAAATTACATTTTGATATACAACTGTTGGATCAAATTACCAAGCCATAGTAGAGGAAGTATGTAATTACTCTGCAATAAAAGTATTCTCTAGTAACTATTATGTAAATAAAGCATACATACTTTGGAATGGATCAAACTTTAAATACTGTTAACTTTGACAGAGAATGTGGGATATATCCTAACCTGGTATAAGTCAATTTGTTCCATTTGATTTCAAGGAAGCTGGGCGTTCTGCACCAGCTGAGGAACTATCACATTAATTTTATGTCTCTTAATGCCTTGCTCAACGCTTTAAAAAAAACCATCTTCACCTTTCAAGTATATTGGAAGGGATGCCTATTTGTACATTAAGGGAATGGTTCCATCCATTGCAATTGCAGACGTGTTCTTTTGAATTAAGGACTGGGATGTATGTGCTTAAGTGTCCGGCACTATAAAAAAATTCATTAGGCCCTGAACAATTAAAACAGAAGAAATCTGTTGACTCCATAAGAGTGTGCTTGCAAACCATTAAAAAAAAAAAAAAAAGAGTTCTTGCAGGATATAGTTTTGCTGATAGTGGAAACTTGACCTAGGGCCAATTGACAGAAACAGAGGTCAGTGCACCTACAGAAGCCAAATTTACCTAAAGAGAATTTGTATTAGTAAGTAGAAATTATAGTATCATAACATAGAACTTTACATGAAAACTTTCCTGAAACAGCCCTCCCTACAAGGGAAAACTTGGAGAAGAAGATGTAGAATAATTTCCATTTTCTTTATGTACAGTTGCTTAAGCCATACAAATATGCAAGGTCAGCAAGAGTTGCAGCTGGGTTCTAATGTAGAAAGCAAACTAAACTTCACATTTACTTTTAATACATGAAAGCAAAAAATAAGTAAATGCAACACTGCTGCCAGAAAATTGCTGCAATGACAATATCCCTTAAAAGTTTCAATGTGAAAGTATGAACATTTTATTTATAATTGTGTATATAAAACTGCAGAAACTTAACATGTGTATGAAGCCTATATTCCTGTAAAAACCTGCACCTGCAGAAAACAGCTAAAAGTTCTTGTTTTCAGAAGCATCAATTAACAATATAGACAATGATATAATTGGACCCTTTAATAATGGCATAACTGAAATATTGTAAAGTTCTCTGAATAGAAGTGAAATTTAAGACATGTATCTGCAATAGTTTACCCTTACAGTTATCTATGTAATTGCAACTATTACATACAGCCATTTTCCAGATCACATAAAATTGCATGTTCAGCAATTTATAAATAATTCTCAGTTCTAAAATAATGTTATTGAAAAGTGCACAATACTCTTCAAACCAGAAGCAGACAATACACAGTAAAATAAAACTCAAAAATGATTTGAAATAGTAATAAAGATTTACCTTCAAGAAATCACAAAAGCAGCACTTAACTAATTGTGTTGAAAGACTGTTGATTTTTTCCATTGCTTCTTAAAAGTGCAAAGTCTGGAAATGAATTTGTTAGCAGTAATGATGAGAAAAAAGAAATCCAGAGAGATGTGAGATGTTGAGAGCAATGTCACATTTCAATATTGAGGACTTTATTCCATTGCGCAGGCTCTATCTGCTCTGATTTTAGCAGTGACAGTGAGATTTAGCAAACAGAAGAGGGATTTAGAGAAAATCCTCACATTTATCTACATTACACAGACACTGTAGACAGGAAACAGCTGGGGGAGCATTTGCCTTCTCTCTCTCTCCCTCTTCTGGCAAAGTTACCGAGTAAGGACTTTTTTGGGCATGGTGACAAATAACATCATACCTTTGCATTTTAAAACTAGAGCACAGAAGCATATTTTTTTCCCTTTAAAAGAATGTGCATTAGTGACTGAGGGGTTAGCAGACAAAAAAGCTTATGCTGCCATGAAAAATAAGAAAATGTATTCTGGTTAACTTTCAGATGACTTTGCGTGTATTTGTAATTATGTGTATGTGTGTGTCTATATTTAAATACATACAAAAATATGTATATGAGGGTATTGTTTGTATATATGTGTACCTGCATATACATGTACACATATTTTATTTATGCATAGAGAAACAGGCATTTTATTTACATAATATAGAAAGACAGGTAGACAGTTATCTACTTTTTAATGCACATTTATATTATTAAACTTGGCACACCTATATGCTGAGTAACAATTAAAAGCTCTATCCTTCTGTGCTATTAACCCTGAAATAGCAGTTTTTAATTTGCTAAAAATAAAAGGATTGTTGAACATTGCTTGTAAATAGGGCAAAATAGCTTCACGATCCTTTAGCAAGCACGCAGGAGAAGTCATATCGTTTCTTAAAATCTACGGTACTATGAATATAGTATTGCAAGTAGCCTCATCTGGGGACCGTTCCATGACTTTAATCTTAAATATTCTGTTGTAATTATAAAGTCACTTTCCCTTTTTTATTAGTAATCTGCCTAATTATTCTTGATAACAATTTAAATGACACTGGGAGAAAGAGAATTCAACTTTGCTCATTCTGTAATACTTAACTTTTGCCTTTTTATTTTTCCTCAATTATGAGCATATTATAAATAACACCAGCTGGCCAGCAACATGCTCTCACGGGTTATGATGTCATTCAAATCCCTCAACTGTGTTAGTGGCTTGCAATGTGCTCCAAGCCAGCTGTTTTTCTATTTATAATGTATGCTTGCATTTCAGTACTTAGCCATTGAGCATGAAGTTGTGATGCTATTTTATAGATACAATTTGTACTTGTTACCCTTTGGTTTTGAAAGGTGGCAGAGTAGATGATTAAACCAGACTACAAGTCCAGAGACCAAATACATGTCACAAGCAGTGAATGATTTCTATAAAAACTGCTTCAGAACATTGCATTTTGTCCCTGTCCCTTTCCACACAACTGACAGTTACACGTTGAGGTGCTAGCTGTACTTTGGATATTGAAAATAACAATTGAGATCACACTGGCCCAGATCCATTCTCAGTTTTCAGGTCCACCTTGAACTGTGTGGTGCTTGCCAGGCAGAAAGGACACATTTAATTTGAATGGCTAATACTCTGTTCTGTGTAGTTTTAAATGGTGTATGGTGAGCTAAGCTGATTACTCTTTGGAAAGGATTTCTTTCTGCTAATGTAGTACGATGGCAGAATCACTGCGGGGATTGAGGTAAATTTAAGTCTAGGTATTACCAATATTTAAAGCATATTCTAATACACATTTGTAGTGCAGGAACTGTATTCTAATATCCTGATATGGTTTATTCTTCCCTTTGAATTTCAGAGATCTTTGAATAGTGACGTGATTCTGCACGTAGCTTGATGTACCCTGCTATAACTCATAGTGCGTTTATCACTTACTTGACCAGCCTACTAGAAGAATTTTGGAAGAGAAATGATCAAAGCTCTGATTTCCTGTATTTTTGATTCTTAGGGGACTATAGATGGTACATGTGTTTCCTCTTCCGTTTTTTTCCCAGAATAATAGCAGGAATCCATTCATTCCTCACTTCCCTGCTGCCTGAGCTTCAAACCCTTCTTTATTTCCTCACTGCTTTCTTTCTCCTAGGTTTTACAAGACCTTCACTGGTCATAAAAGTAGCATGCAGGAGCAATAGTAGCAAAAGTAGCATAAGGATGGAACTTCTGGCATTCGTGGTAGCTAAACAATCATGGTATCTTTACATAACTGCTAATCCTGCTTCTTTCCATGGAGCCATTCTGAACTCCATATCCTTGTTCCAGCCATCAAGGCTAAGTTTCTGATGCACTTCACTTCTTTCTATTAGTTCTTGATTTAAAGTGGTATTGTTAAAAGGCAGTAAAACAGGATAAATTCAAGACAGATTTTTTTGATAGTAATTTGTTTGAACTTTTTTTAGACAGTGGAGTGCCTTTCCTCACTAACAAGCTAGTCCCTTTTTCTAGAAAATTAAGTATTCCTCAGGACATATTTGTCTGGGGTTCATTGCTTTCCTTCTCTTTTGATCGTCAGAGCCACCTATTGACCTTCATTGCAGTATAGCAGTCTGCTAGCTAGTGGAGATATGTCCATTTCTTCCATGCTAATTATACCCTTTTGTTGCTAATTATACTTTTTGATAATCATACTTTTACTTTACAAACCATATCAAATAAAGTACTCTGTGATCAATGATTGAGGGCTTATTCAGTTACTTGTGCCCCCTTGAATAAAGTGCACCTGTAAACTATAATAGAGTTTCTGGTAATCATAAACATATTCATAAAAGATGTCCAGGTCACAAGTATCTATTTAATTGAATTGTCCATAGTTATTCCAATTTAAAAGCTGCTAGTGTGAGTATCCTTGACATGCTATATCACTGACATGCTATTTGTCTGTTCTCATTTGTCAGTTCTTCCAATGAGAAGAGGGACTCTTACCTAAACTATTATTAATTAATATGTATATTATCCCTCTTTAAATCCTTCCTAAAAAGGTAGCAACCTTACCACAATGCCTGAAAAAATCTGAGCTATAATAAGGCAACCAGGATGCTGTCCTCTTGTGTTGTCCTGTATTGAATCACAGTTACCTGTACCTAGTTATTTATTATCTCTAACTATTGTCTCTTTTCTTATATTGACATTGCAAATTTTCCGGAAGCAAGATAGAGCCAGTATAATAGACATCACCTTTTTAGGGCTGAGAACATGGTGGAAGATAGAATGAAAGAAGACAGTAAACACAGTGGCTGGGGAACAGCTGTTCTTCATTATATGAACAGAGCAGAGACAAGCAGAGACTTTTATTATGTTGTTTTAAAGAAATTCACCCTGCACAGAACATACACAGAAGCAGAGAGATTCATGGATTGGGAAAAGATGATCGACACAGCTTGAGTATCTTTGGTAGTGTTTCCCCCCTGCTGCCACTACCCCTACCGCCCACCCTCCTCACTCTCCCCACCCCCTCAAAAAAAGGCAGAAGAGCCTTCTGAAGGAACGATGCCTTATCAGTCTCCCCTTAGTTTACTGACTGGTGACTGAATTCAGGTGACTGGGCCAGTGGGAATTGTATTTTTCTGTGTCGTCGTTTTTTCTTTTTTGACGCTCCAGCCATGCAATTAGACATTAAAGGCAGTGTTCATTCACCTAACTGTAGGATGTCCTGCCTGACCTCCACCTTCCATTCCAGAAAGATACTCATTTCCCATAGGTCTTGTGTCATATCTGCTGACCTCATACAGATTTCTTGCATACTTTAGGGCATCTTAAATGGCCTTCAACACCTACGTTTAGGTAACTGAACCCCATCATAAAGCCTTACGGCATTTTGGTCCAGGATTCCTGTAAGTGACGTCTTTGGCTTTTTTGTAAATTGAGATACTATTTCTTCTGTCACTTACTATTTTTGTGACCCATTTGTAAAGAAGTTTTAAACTGGGGGGCACCACATTTGCATCGAATTTCAGCATGATCAAAGTGTATATTTTTCTTAGTGTCCTTTGCTTAGGCTCCAGCTTAAGCTATTTAGGATTAGAGCTGTCTTTTTATTTGCTTCGTAAGTCATCTTGCTTGCTTCTAGATAAGATAGAATGTTATTTACATTTTTTTTTTTATGAAATGCACATATGATTGTTTAGCTTATATAGTCTCTAGTGAATTATTTGTAAAATACTGCAGGTTTACTATTAGAGAATTTTAGCTTTCTTTCCTAGGGGTGAAAGGGAATGATATTTTATGAAAATGGAATGTTGTATTGAAGTTAGTAATAGGTCAGGTATATGGTGGAAAATTCCTTTCGTCAGGTTAAAAGAAGTTAGGAAATTAAGAAAGAACTCATCTTACTCATTCATTTGAGCTACTGAACTGTTTAAAAAAGAAAATCTAAGACATCTTTTCTCATGGTGGTATAAGTAGCATTATCACTACATGAAAAACCAGGCACAAATTTGACTAGGAAGGTGAGAGCGTACAATCTGGGCTGTCATTGCGCTGGTAGAATTGAAAGGAGACCAAAGAGAAGAGCAGTACCATGAAGAGAAGTTTCTCTACAGGGCAAACCAGGGAAAATTCAAATTTCATGATTAAATGATGATCAAGTAAATAGAAATCTCTTCATATTTGCTGATGAAAAATAACCTGGTTGTTTCAAAAGGGAAAATGGATCTGGGAGGACCTTAATCCTGATTCTCTGGTTATGGGAAACAGTGGTAGAAACAACAGATGTTAAGAATAGGCCATGTACTTGTGAGCTAGAAGTAGTGAGAGTAGTATCTCTGTTCTGTGGAGTGAGAATTAAATAGCTCTGTTGAGATCACCAGGAGGCAAAGAACTTCTCTGTTGCTGGCTAGCAATGAGGATACAGAGAAAATGTGTGATTAGAATATTGGGAAGACTAAAATTAAGTGTTTGACTGTAAAATTTTATTTTATGATATAAGTTAGAGTAGCTATCATTTTGAATATCCTTGTATTGGTATGATTTGTCTTCCTAGGATTTAAAAGCAATTGCTGCTTAAAACAGTACAAAGCAAAATACTGATTTATTTTCTTGCCCAAATAAAAGATACATCAACTATTAGCTATGTTGTTTTTACAATTAAAATAAATTTAAAAAAGGTATGGTAATTTACGGAAATTACTTATTATGAACAGGCATGAGATAGTGTCTAGTTATGACTGACAAAACAAAAATACAAAATATGAAAAAATAAGATAAAGTAAATAAAAATAAAAAGCT